CCCTCCGCCGCCATGGCCCGCCCTGGCCCCCATCGCCGTCGGGCCTTGCCCGTCTCCTTTTCTTTATAGCGACCGCCGCCCCCTTCCTGCCTCACGCTGTCGACTTCTCCGTCTCGATGTTTCCTCTGCTTTCCGATCTCCTTCCTGTCATAGACGCCCTCTACTACGCCTGCTGGCTCTCTCAGCACCGACACGCTCCGCAACCGGTCCATCGACTCTCTCCTTGCTCGACGGCCACTTACACACACTCGTTCTGAGTTCACCACCCTCGATACATACTGCCCCAGGCTATTCTCCTTTGCGGCAGCGGACAATCAGCTGGGAACACATACACCAAGAGCTACTGCTCTCTGAATCACCCGTAAGTGCCCAACAAACACCTGCAAGAGCTGGTGGGCTCTGGTCACCATTTTCCTTGGCCGGCCAGTCTGTACTCCGTTACGGCCACCCACCCATTCGCCCGTCTTGATGCTGGCTTCCGGGCTGTGTCAGACACACCACAAGGCCTGTACCCGTCACTACGCTTTCACCAGCCGGTCGCTCGACGTGCTCAATCCTCTCGCGCCGTCGAATCACATAGGCAGCTCAGCCCGTGTAATGCAAGCATCCGCGTCACGGGACGCCTCCGTACACCGTCATGCTGAGCCAACCATATACGCTGTTTGCCTCTGGCATGCCATATATATGTGCTCCCCCGCTGACCTTTGTTTCTGGCAGATCCCCGATCAAGCAGGGTACTCGCCAAGAAGAGAGTCTTCTAATAAAGTCGAACACCTCCGAGAGGGAATCATTCGCTCGCCAAGACCGACTACTCGCAAACCAGGAAAAGAAATGGACGGTCATGGGATCGGTGGGCGGCGCGAGTCCGTCTCGCAACAACCAAATTACAGAGAGGAGAAGCCGATACAGACGAGCACAGAACAGCAGTCCTCCAGCTCTGAGGCCAAGAACCCACCTCGTATCAGCCAGCCGAAAGTTATCCCCGCCGTTTCAGGTACCAGCACACCTGTCGAGGTCGGTAGCCCGTCACCTGCCAACACCCTGTCATCACGACCTGGGGCGTCAAGTCAGAGGACCGACTACTTCTCGAGCCGAAGGAAGATCGAGCCTCCTGTGACGAAAGCTACTCTAAGCGAGCTGGACGTTGGCAAGATCGTACACAACCCCAAGCTTCACCACGACATTAACTTTGACCCCGAGTTGCACTTCCGGCCTAATCTCGATGGCGAAAAGGGCCACAAGAAGCAGGCGAGAGCGCAACAGTTCTGGCAGTCCCTGGCATCGCAACTACGGATGTTCATGACGGACCGCGACAGCTTCATGACCCTGTACGGCCAAGGCCAGGAATGGTGCCTGCCAATGCTGCTCAAATCAGTAAAGGACATCATTTCAACACTGGTGCCTGCGCGTGATCGCGCCCAGCTGGAAGAAGGGCTCAACGTCCCCCACATCATGCAACAGTTTGCGTATGGCATGGCCGATCTGGAGAAGCTGGCGTCATGGCTCTCGAGTGTCCTCAAATCCCACTGTGCACCTATGAGGGACGAGTGGGTTGATGAGATGTACAAACAGCTCACGAACGGCAACCGAAACAACGATGTTGACGAGCTTGTCAAGGGGATGCGCAGCCTCTTGAGTGTGCTCGAGGCCATGAAGCTCGATGTTGCCAACCACCAGATCCGCTGCTTGCGCCCTGTCCTCATCGAAGAGACTGTTGCGTTTGAGGACCGCTTCTTCCGGAAGAAGCTGCGGGAGGGCAAGTTCGACGCTACAGCCGCCAAGGAATGGTACTCGAGGATGACCGACAAAGCTAGCCAGCACCAGCAGGGCTCAGCACAAGCCTTTGGCGACATGGCCATCTACTTTGAGTCTGTTGCCGAGATGATCATGCCCTCTAGCCACGAGCCATTCCCGAACACATTTCTGTTCGACGAGGAGCGGATGACAAAGCTACGCTCTGACATGCTCGATGCTATCAACCTGGAGCTTTGCATGCGCCTCTACGACAGGCTAGATCGGGCCTCGCCGGGTTTTGGACCCAGCGCAACGGGTGACTCGCCTCTGCCATCGGACCTTGCCATGGACGATGATTCTGACTGCCACTCAACGTCGTCCGCGCGTTCGAGCCTGGTCTTCAGCTCCGTTGGCACCCCTGAGGCCAGTCCCCGGTCGTCATTGGTGTGCCCCGGCCGGCCCGCCTCTGTGCGGCCCCAAGATCGTAAGGCGAAGACCCAGGAGCTCTACGCCTCCCTGGTGTCTCTGCTCCAGTCTTGCCCAGCTACTAGCCCGCCAGCACAGCGATGGCAGACCATGAAGGACTCTCTCGCCCTGCAGATCTTCCGCTTCACCAACGCGCCCTCGAGCGAGCTGATGAACTTTGAGGACATGCTTGACCTCCACGTAAGCGAAACTGCTTCTGAGCTCTTCCAGGAGGTTGAGGAGGAGTTCCACCGCCGACTGGTGCAGGAACTGCAGCAGCGTGTCAAGAGCTTCAAGAACCTGGGCGCTGTCTCGTTGTTTTCTGTTGCCACGGGCGGCCGTCTGCCATCGACCGGGCGCGCGGCCGGTGCCCAGTCCAGCCCTTCGACCCGCAATCGCAACAACGGCGACGACGGCAGCGTCCCCGACATGGCGACGCGCCTGGCTCATCTCGGTCTTCTCCACTGGCGCGTCTGGGGGCCTCTTGTCTATTGTGAAGAGGACAACGACGTCGAGATGTCTTCGTAAGACATGGCCACATCTTCACTCACTACACACTTTTTAATTGGCTGGTTGACACCTTTCCAACTGCCGCTCGCTTCACATTGATTTCAACACGCACAGCATTATCCGGTGTCCTGGGTTGTTTTTCACATCATATCTTTTCGACAGGGAGGAGGTCTCCCTGTCCGGAGTTTTGTCGTTTGGGTGCAATGATACACATCATCGATGCTTGTTTACACATTTGTTTATGCGCGGGCAAGGCTGCATTGCCTGAATACATAGAGAGACTGCCGTTGGAGTATATACATAGAATAGACCAAAGCAGTTTGTTCTCACTCAATTTGCACTTTCGTCCGGGGCCGTGACATGTGACCTGGTGAGCTCGGGGGATGCCAACAGTTGGCCTGGCTATCAAAAGTGAGAGTTTGGCTTGAGCCGCGCCAGTTTCCAGGGAAGCATTGCCACAGGGTGCCTGAGGGTGCTTGACAGTAATCTTGCTTTGACATCAAAGCCGACGACCAAGCTTCACACAAGTCCCTAACCACATTTTCTGAAACGACACGTCGTGCACTGGCACGAATCCGAGCGCGGTCTTTCCCAGTGGTCTTCTGCACGATGGCTACGACAGGGCGGATTGGGAACAGGTCGCGCCTCCGGAGAAGGTAACGTACCTTGAAAGTCGGGCCGGGGCTCTGGTGAGGTTTTGAACATCAGCATTCGGCTGGATATCCCCACGTCAGAAGTATCCGCCGGATTGCCAACGTGTTGACATTCTTTCAGAACGCCGGAAACAGAAAATTAGCAGACTCTCGCAAGTTCTGCTGTCGCCGTAGCCGGCGAGGTCGGTGGGAGTAATGTCGCCCCCCGTGTACAGGTTCGAGGTCGTGAGTCTGCATCGTGGCATAGTTTGGTAAGATCCCTCTGGAAGAGAAATCGCCGTCTCGAGGAGGGCAGCATTGCCTGAAAGGTACCAGCACGAGGGCGGGACCGGATCAGTCACTGCAGGCGACATTTTCTCCACCTGTGAGGACGTGTCCAAACGCTGTGCTGACCATCTTGTGTGTTGTCTGAGAGGCCGCCCCGTGCCGTTGTGACTGGTGTACTGGTATTATGATGACTGAGTCTGGCCGCAGTGCTGCCTCGCCAATCCTTATTACGGCCGGCGAGTTGGCTGCGACGACGACGACAGATTGAAGATATCCTCAAAACACTTCTCGTATCCTCGAAACAACTTTATAGGTAAGCCAAACATGTACCGCAAATTGGTAGTCAGGCCCGTGTCTCGTCGGTATGGTTGATTCACGAGATCTTTCGAAGTAGAGCGACTGTGCAGAGATATCTAGTCACGCTCTTGACTTGTTTCCAGAACCTCTCCTACTGCATGATAGTGATTGTCACAATGGTCATGCCATCGGAGGGCAACATGTGCATCGATATGCAGACCGTACGTGTAACTTTCGGCGCTGGTTTGTCGTAGAGCTATGTTCCCGCCATTCATTACTATTGCATACTCGAACGCATGGTCACCGTGGGTTTTCGAATACATCAGCGTGCAAATGCGACAGAGTCTTGCAGACGCATGATCGAATAGCACCATGCAGGATTGAGCGTTCCGTCACATCTGTAGTGACACCCTGGGGTCGTCTGTTGCGACAACACCGCCAAAACCAGACGGAGACGAGCCACTTCGACTGACTCTATCTGGAAAGAGCTGCCGTGCGGACTCTGCAGGTTTTAGATCAGACACGCTAAGTGTTCGTTCAGAGTATCACATGGTTTTGAAGGTATTCGACTTCAAACTGTACATCAACTCGACCAGCAAGTCAATTGAAATCTGACATTACATTCCATCTACACTTCAGGGAACTTGCTCTCCCGTGCTGCCGAGTTGTGTGCAAACTATACGCTGTAGAGGAGGTAAGAGCGACCGACCAGGCCCCTACATTTAAGCAATTTCGTAGACAGTTGGAGTTCGAGGTCCTCCATCAGTCCTGCATTATCATAATTGACAATCCACCTTCTTCGTTCTCTTCCATCACCTATTGCATAACGCTCACACCTTCGGAACCTCCGGAAACGGGAGGTCACTCCAGTCCGGCCGCCGGAGCCGGAGCCGGAGCTGTCCCACCAAGTCCCTGTTGACATTTCCCCAACTCCCCCCACAACTCCAGACAAAACTGCCCACAACTCCAGACAATTGCTATCTTTCCGACAAGCCCATATATACCCGGAATAATCGTGCTCTCTCCATCAAGCAGACCACATTACAAATCCCGGCGATTCAACGTCCAGGAACAGGCACTTTGGCGGAGTGGTTAACGCGATGCCCTGCTATTATCCATAGCGGCCTAGGCATTTCCTTCGGGAGCGCAGGTTCGAATCCTGCAGGTGTCGAGCGACTCACAGGAGCTCACCAGCATTAGCTGGTTTCTTTTTTGGCGATTCTGGGGGTGGTTTCGATTTTTACTTGCACCATGTCGTCTTTGTCTTCTTTTTTCTGGTTGGGGGGGTATTTTTGGCCCCATGGACGCTTGTTATTATGGGGCGGGTGGTTGTAGTTGTTGCTCCTGCCTCTGATGAATTTTTGGATAACTGGAACGCCTGGTCTTGGGCTGATAGGGTTGCTGGAATGTATTCTTGATTCTGGGAGTATGTAGTACGAACTATCATGTGCTTTCGTCAGTGAGGTTGAGTCGAGGGAGCTGAGATGATGGTCTGGCAACTGGACGAAGCTCCCGAGCTGTTCCTTACTCCCTCCAATTAGCCTGCTTGCGGGACGAGTTATCAAAGTACCGTCCTGCTGCTCACGTGCATTATTTGCCCAAGAGTCTGAGTGGGGGGTTGCATCCTCTATGTATCTCCGGATGAGACCGAAGTGTCTTGAGTTCAACCAAGGTGATTCGGTACAGCACAGAGTCAACACTCTTCATGAGTCGTCTTCGCAAGGCCTGGTCGTGGATTAACTTGTTTAGATCTGTTCAAGTACTATTGCCGTATATGATCCTCCACGTGGCAAATTCACCTCTGCCCTAGCGGCAGCTGAGGCAACATCTAAGCCTATTCAGACGTCTCTCGTGGAGAATACTGTCTATTAGTCATCGCCATCTGATCCGGGGGCATTCTTCACGCCCGCGCGCTCCGTGGACGGAGAGTTTCTGGCCCTGCCTGCCCCATGCGGCTTAAGACACTCAGCTTTTCCCGAGTCTCTGTGCTGATATACAAGCAAGCTTCAACCCGCTGAGCACAGAGCCCTTAGGAAACCCCACAGACGCCATGACACGTTGACACGAGGCAACTACTAACGACCTCCAACACCAACGTGGTGCCGGACGGGGAGTGGTATATGGACTCGTTGTAAATGTCACAACAAAAGAAAAAGGAAAAACACCGCACCGGAGCGGTGGAAGCTGCGTCGGACAACCTACCTCCACCCACACATAGAAAATCCAAGTCTTTTTCTTTTCCTACAGAAAACAACACACAGTGATCCCACGATACTGGCGCCTGTAGGCGACACGTGCGGTGCATACCTCCTTCCTTCTCCGCTCCTCCTCCTCCTCCTCGCACAGCGTGCCAAAGGAGCAAGCAGGCTTCCTCATACCGTCCCAAGGAGACGAGGACGAGCGCGAGAACAGAGCATCTCCACACCGCTAGCTAGCCCGTAAAACCAGACCGCCGTACCAATAGATGGGGCTCTGCATGCGAAGCCCTCGGGATGATGTACTACGTGGATAGCTATCATGGGACTCTTTGACTGCTCAAACGTGGTTATTCAACTCTGCTGGCGGCGCAGACAGACCCCCCCTCCCATCCCTGTCAAGATAGATAGTCACACTCTCAAGGCGACCGATCACAAGTTTCTCTGAACGCTTTTATATATACAGGTCGCTCACTAAGCAAATAGAGCAGCGCCCGAATGAAGTGAGCATGCTCGGTCTCGGGGCCCCCATGAAACAAGGCCCTCTCCCGGACCTGGACGACAAGAGAGCAAGCTTGGTAGTATAACGAAAAGAGGCGAAACTTTGACTCTATATAATCCCGTCCGCCGAACTCCAGACCAATGCCATTAATTGACCCATCTAATACAACGCGACGTGGTGCGGATGACACCGCTGAATGCCAATATTTCTTCTTGTTTCTTCCGCTGTTCCGTCTCTACCCCTTTACTTCTCACATTCTTCTTTCCAAGGTCGGTTCGCCTTATTCGTCCGCAGGCTTGTCGTGCCTCGAGTACATCTGGTACTCTGCGGTGTTGGCAAAATTGATCTTGCCGCTCTCGACCTGGGCTCGCGTCGTGCTGAGCAGGGGCTCGGGAAGGCCCATAGATTGGAGGTATGAAAGAGCTGTGAGGGCGGTAAGTCAGTATTCGATTATAGTGCTCGAGTTCGTGCTCCGGATATGAATAACTCACTGTCCTTCCACTCCTTCTCCTGCCTCTTCTTGTCCCACTTGAGCTCCTGCGCCATAATGTCAATCACCCGCGGCAGCGCCTCGAGCGAGGCCTGGGCATTGAGGAAAGCCAGGCGCGTTCTCCGTGCGAGAATGTCGACCGCGGTCTGGGCGTACTCGTGAGCGATCGCGTACCGCACCTCGCCGTCGACAAAGGGGTACAGCTGGGCGATGCGCTCGCCGCGGGCAGGGAAGCGCTGGTTGGTCGGCTTGCACATGGAGGCGACGGTCCACGCGCGGTCGCCGTAGCTCTCGGCGAGATGCTTGGCGACCTCGGTCTCGATACCAAAGTGCTGGATGAGCGGGATGAAGAGCGTCTTGCTGTACCCGTGCGCGCCGACCAGGCGCACGTTGTGGGTCTGGCAGGCGCCGTCGAGGATCGCGCCGTCGTCGATCTCCTCGGTGCCGCTGACACGGGGGGCGTTGGGCACAGGCTGAGTCTTGAGGCCGAACTCCTTAATCGACTCATCCAGGCACTCCTCGGCCATCTGGCGGTATGTGGTCCACTTGCCGCCGGCGCAAGTGACGAGGCCTGATGCGGAGATGTCGACAAGGTGGTTACGGACGAGTGACTCGGTGTTGCTGGCCTTGGGGTCCTTGACCAACGGGCGAATGCCGGACCACGCCGCCAAGACGTCGCCACGACGGACGCTGATCTCGGGAGCAAGGTAGTGCTTGACCTCGTCCAAGATCCACTGGATAGACTTCTCGTCGGGAATGGGGTTCTGCGAGATCGGCGAAGGCTCGTCAGTGGTGCCGGCGATCGTGTTACCCTGCCAGGGCAGGAAGAAGATGACTCGGCCGTCCGATGTCGAGGGGTCGAGCAGGCCCATGTTCGATGGGCTGTAGTAGCCGGGAAGGATGACGTGGACACCAGAGGCAGGGGCGACAATCGGCTGGCAATCCTGATCGTCCATCAGGCGGATCGAATCGGTGAAGGGGCCGGTGCAGTTGATGATGCACTTGGCCTTGACGGTGATGTCCTCGGCTTTCTGGCCGTTGAGCTCGGAGACGCGATCCCTGACGGTGGCGCCATCGAGTCGTCCCTGGGCGTTCTTGGAGAGGCTCGTGACCTCGGTGTGGTTGAGGACTGTGGCGCCGTAGACGGCCGCGGTCATGGCAATCGAGACGTTCATTCTGGAGTCGTTGTGCGCGCCGTCGTAATACACCAGGGCGCCCACGAGGCCGGTCTTCTTGAGCATGGGGAATGCGTCGAGCGCCTTGGTGCGCGTGAGGAAGTAGGAGCTCTCGATGCCCTCGCTGCCGGCGAGCAGGTCGTAGCACTTGGTGCCGGCCCAGTAATAGGGTGCCTTCCACCACTTGTCGAGGGGCACCATGATGGGCAGCCACGAGCTGAGATGCGGCGCGGTGCGGAGGAAGTACTTGCGCTCCTTGAGCGCCTCCCGCACGAGCTCGTACTGGGAGTAGTCGAGGTTCCAGAAGGCCTTCTCGAGGTACCGCACACCACCGTGGACGAGCTTTGTGCTCTTGCTGCTGGTGCCGCTGCTGAAGTCGTCTCTCTCGACCACGGCGACCTTGAGGCCTCTGGTCACGGCGTCGAGGGCGACACCGGCGCCGGTCGCGCCACCGCCAATAATGAGCACATCGTACTCCTCGCCAGGCTTTGTGCTGTTCTTGAGGTTGGCGAGCTGCTCCTGCCGGGACTTGACCTTGGGGAACAGCGGCATGCGGAAGGTGCCGTCGGCGCTGTAGTAGGGGGGCGCGACAGCGGCATCCTCGAACCCGGGGATGTTGCGCGGCCGGTATGTAAAGTAGAGGGCGCTACCACCTACGGCTGCGACCGTGGTGGGGATGGCGAGCCGCCGCAGCAAGCGGGAGCCGGCCTGTCTCGACATGATGCGCTGGAGGGCCTGTGGTCGTCGCAGTCGTCGCAGTCGTCAAAGTCCCGCGCTGAGGACGCGTGCTGTGGGATCGGAACGGTCGTTGCGTGCAAGGACGACAGAAGACGGAGAGGCGCAACGCGGCAGGAAGAAGAGTGAGCGCTGGCTGGCGGGGCGGAAGAATACTCGGAGGATGGCAAAGAAGCACAAAATCGGGGACGGCGGAGTGGCAGAAATGTGGAAATGGTGCCGTGGAGCAAAAGCCGGGCCCCTATGCCGGACCGGACCCAGCACTATGACGTTGGCTGGCCGAGAGTGGGTGCCGAGGGTGTGCGGATTGTGGATTGCCGCGGGCCTGCTGCGGAGGCAAGAGATACAAGACACCGGACACTGGACACGGGACACTGGGCACAGACAGATGTGAGGCTCTCACGAGCGGAGTCCGGTGCGTGGGGGAAGTCGGTGGTTTTAAGGCAAGCTGCGGCCTCCTCGCGGACGGAATCACAATGAACCCCGAGCGGCCCATGTCCCACGTCTTGGAGCAATGCGCGCCGCTCTTCCCCAAAACCCAGCGTGCCCCGAGCAGCCCGTGGGACGCACTGCAGCGCTGGAACACCCACGTGGGGCCTGCCCGCGCCCTCCCAGTGGGGGAAACCTCCTCCAACAATGGAGCCTGCCCTCGTCGCCGCCGTTTCCACCAATCACTGCCTCGCGGCCACTTTTCCCCCGGCACGGGCCCCAACCCTCGCCGGCACCGGCCCCCGAGGCCGGCAACTTTCTCCATCCTCGGGCCATGTCGACTCCAGGACACCACGGTTGGACCACAATTGATCATCACCAAATCACAAACTTCCAGCTTGTCCACATGGCTTGTCGAGCTTGTCGAGTTGTCTACCCAAACTAGTACTCCATCCTCCCCACTGCTTCCGGAGAGACATGTCCGACTATATCGACACAAGGCCGCGTCCACCCGCGCGCGCAAAGCACGTCCTCGTTGCCGAATGCATCCGCTCTAATTACATGGCAGGGGCCTCCAACATTAATCATATACACAGCCATCGCTTGGATGGCCAAGACATAGAAGAAAGATACATGTGAATTGAA